CCGTTTTAAAATGCTTATTTCAGACCCGTATGTGAGACCACCTGCGCCGCGCAGCGCGCTGGGGGGGGGGGGTTACGGTGCGCAGCGCTGCGGCTTCTGAATACATGAAAATGCTTTAACACAGTTGTTTATACTTTTAGCAGCTCTTTTTATCCCACAGCTGACCTGCTAAAAATGACAGGTTTTCTTTTCTGGATCTCTGACAGACGGACTTCAATCTCTGAACTCGTAAAGTTTTTATTTTTTCAGTTTTCGCTGTCATGTTTCATGAATGGACACTTCCTGATATCTGAGGCAGGAAAAACAGCCTTATATGGTGTTTTTGGGGTGGTAATTATGCTAATCTCCTCTCGCATGCACGAGCAGCTGGATAGAACAGGTGTAATTTACGCAGCTCATTTACGCACGTTTCCTGACGATAGAAGAGTTTGTTGAATCTGACGTGACATGTTCGTACGAAGAAATTTAGGATAAGAATACGAACATGTTCTTGCATGAGGCCCAATGTGTCTTAAGGGGCTATGAAAGGTGTGTGCCAAAACCAATGCCGAACAACCTTGTGACTGCACGTCATCTGCCGATCGACCACACTGAACCCTAAACTGTTTGATTGACAACCAAGGGGAAGGGCCATTTATAGATTGATTGGAATTAAATGAAAGTTTGTTTGGCCAGTGACAAATTAAATTTTGCTTCTTCATGTTTTTCATAAGCTCTGAAGAGCTACTTTAAATGAGCTGAYGGGCTACTGGTTGGAGACCCCTGAAATAGAACATATAGAACTTTCAAAAGAGGTTGGAGGAATGAATGAAACAAGTTTTAAGGTTTGTTTGATGGTTCCAGTCATCTGCAGCAGAGAACTGAAAAGAAGAGCAACCAAAGGTGGTACGTGCTTTTGGTATGAGAAGATGATGATGATGATAATAATAATAATAATAATAATAATAAATTTAATTTGTAAAGCCCATTTCATTAGAAAAAATCTCAAAGTGCTACAAACATCAAAAAAAAAATACCTCCAACTTTAATACCAGTTTATTTCCTTGCTTTCAAATGTACGCTGTGAACAATAACTGACGGAAGCAGAGATGAGATAAAACCCAGATGTCTTGTTTTTTTAACATCTGTTCATTTGGATGTTCACGCTTGTTGTCTGGTTTCATTGGGTAAAATCTTATCAACGTGTTTATTTGACTTTCAGATACCAGCAGACTGGTGTGCGGTGGATGTGGGAACTCCACTGTCAGCAGGCAGGCGGTATCCTGGGAGATGAGATGGGATTGGGCAAAACCATTCAGGTCATCAGCTTTCTGGCCGGACTAAGCTACAGCAAACTGAGAACTAGAGGGTCCAACTACAGGTACACACACACACACACACACAGACACACAAACAGTGTCCAGAGACTGTGTGTCTGTATGGTATGAATATTTGATTAGTAGGATTTCTGCTTGAGAGTGTTCGTCTGAATTATTAAACATGTTTCAATTATCAGACTCTTCACTTTCTTACTGCAGACATCAGAGAAAACACTAACACTCTGAGTGTGTGTTTGTGTGCGTGTGTGTGAGAGACTGTGTTCACGTCTTCGTGAGCACCTAAAATGAACGTTAGACCGATGAAGTGGGGGGTGGAGCAGGTGTGGGACGACATATCAACCACAGAGAACATGAGGGAGTGGTGGTAATAATCTGCTTTTTACTGCACCGACGACACTTGTGCATTCAGTAGGCGGAGCTTCCCTGATGGTCAATACTCTGTCTGCTATAGAAGCCCACAAATTGATTGCTCGCAAACTCAATTATGGCCCAGTATCAATAGCTTCCAGCAGGCAGAGGTTCGTAGCAGCCCATTAGTGCATCATTGTGTGTGTCTTTATGTGTTTGACAAAGTTTTTGTAAATCTTCACAGATGAGTTGAGGTCTGTGTGCGTGCACTTTCACTGCTTTATGGGCTGGACGTAGAGATTAAGTGCATATGCAGGTGGAATTTTTTCGAGTACTTAACAGGTGAACTCAGTTTTATGTAGGCAGAAGGAAACAATATATTCTCCCTGCAAGTCAAGCATAGTTATTATTTTGTTATTGATTAAGTAATGACTGTAGTTGTCAAATAAAGTATGCTTAAATTATACAAAGTGAAATTGGCTTTTTTGTATCACTTATTCATTTAAGTGACAGGTTTGCTTTCTTCTGTGTGTGTTTGTAGGTACGCAGGTTTGGGTCCAACCATCATTGTGTGCCCAGCTACAGTCATGCACCAGTGGGTGAAAGAGTTTCACACCTGGTGGCCTCCTTTCAGGGTGGCAGTTCTTCATGAAACTGGCTCGTTCACCAGCAATAAGGTAAAGCATTTGTTCTGGTTTCAGATGATAGTTTAACTAGAAAAAGTTTTGTTTCCTCTGGGGGGCACTAGAGGTCTTTTATTCTATTGTAATTTTTCATTTGTGTTTTTCTGTCCAGTCTTTTTTTTTGCTCATATTTTATCATATAGAAAATATGATTTGTAATTGATCAAATTAGGGCTGGGCGATTTGATCGCGATTATTGAACGAGAAAAAATTCAGGTCGATCACGGTGATCAGCTGTCAGCCTCTTACTTGATCAAACATGGCGGAAATGTGCGCGACAACAGCTAATCAGAATCCACCTTCTCCTGCTCCACTTCCGTTTATAATTTGCTGAGGAAACGCAGACGGAATCACAGAATTAACCAAAGTAATCCAGAATAAAACTCTGAATCTCTCAGAGTTTGCTTATTTGGGTGAGTTTCTGAGGTATTTTGGCCGCTGTCGCTTCCTGTTCCTGCCTTTACCTGCTAACAGGCACGCAGGGTGAGCTCTGAGGGGAGAAAAGTGAGCTGTGATGCGCGTCTCGCGAAAATAAAAACATCCTCCAAAAATATGAAGCGGTCTTAGGGTAATGTTTAGGACAGAACAATGTCCCAGCAGTTCTTCATTTATCTGGAGAATAACTTTTCTGTAAGTTTTATCGGCANATAATAATAATAATAATAATAATAAATTTAATTTGTAAAGCCCATTTCATTAGAAAAAATCTCAAAGTGCTACAAACATCAAAAAAAAAATACCTCCAACTTTAATACCAGTTTATTTCCTTGCTTTCAAATGTACGCTGTGAACAATAACTGACGGAAGCAGAGATGAGATAAAACCCAGATGTCTTGTTTTTTTAACATCTGTTCATTTGGATGTTCACGCTTGTTGTCTGGTTTCATTGGGTAAAATCTTATCAACGTGTTTATTTGACTTTCAGATACCAGCAGACTGGTGTGCGGTGGATGTGGGAACTCCACTGTCAGCAGGCAGGCGGTATCCTGGGAGATGAGATGGGATTGGGCAAAACCATTCAGGTCATCAGCTTTCTGGCCGGACTAAGCTACAGCAAACTGAGAACTAGAGGGTCCAACTACAGGTACACACACACACACACACACAGACACACAAACAGTGTCCAGAGACTGTGTGTCTGTATGGTATGAATATTTGATTAGTAGGATTTCTGCTTGAGAGTGTTCGTCTGAATTATTAAACATGTTTCAATTATCAGACTCTTCACTTTCTTACTGCAGACATCAGAGAAAACACTAACACTCTGAGTGTGTGTTTGTGTGCGTGTGTGTGAGAGACTGTGTTCACGTCTTCGTGAGCACCTAAAATGAACGTTAGACCGATGAAGTGGGGGGTGGAGCAGGTGTGGGACGACATATCAACCACAGAGAACATGAGGGAGTGGTGGTAATAATCTGCTTTTTACTGCACCGACGACACTTGTGCATTCAGTAGGCGGAGCTTCCCTGATGGTCAATACTCTGTCTGCTATAGAAGCCCACAAATTGATTGCTCGCAAACTCAATTATGGCCCAGTATCAATAGCTTCCAGCAGGCAGAGGTTCGTAGCAGCCCATTAGTGCATCATTGTGTGTGTCTTTATGTGTTTGACAAAGTTTTTGTAAATCTTCACAGATGAGTTGAGGTCTGTGTGCGTGCACTTTCACTGCTTTATGGGCTGGACGTAGAGATTAAGTGCATATGCAGGTGGAATTTTTTCGAGTACTTAACAGGTGAACTCAGTTTTATGTAGGCAGAAGGAAACAATATATTCTCCCTGCAAGTCAAGCATAGTTATTATTTTGTTATTGATTAAGTAATGACTGTAGTTGTCAAATAAAGTATGCTTAAATTATACAAAGTGAAATTGGCTTTTTTGTATCACTTATTCATTTAAGTGACAGGTTTGCTTTCTTCTGTGTGTGTTTGTAGGTACGCAGGTTTGGGTCCAACCATCATTGTGTGCCCAGCTACAGTCATGCACCAGTGGGTGAAAGAGTTTCACACCTGGTGGCCTCCTTTCAGGGTGGCAGTTCTTCATGAAACTGGCTCGTTCACCAGCAATAAGGTAAAGCATTTGTTCTGGTTTCAGATGATAGTTTAACTAGAAAAAGTTTTGTTTCCTCTGGGGGGCACTAGAGGTCTTTTATTCTATTGTAATTTTTCATTTGTGTTTTTCTGTCCAGTCTTTTTTTTTGCTCATATTTTATCATATAGAAAATATGATTTGTAATTGATCAAATTAGGGCTGGGCGATTTGATCGCGATTATTGAACGAGAAAAAATTCAGGTCGATCACGGTGATCAGCTGTCAGCCTCTTACTTGATCAAACATGGCGGAAATGTGCGCGACAACAGCTAATCAGAATCCACCTTCTCCTGCTCCACTTCCGTTTATAATTTGCTGAGGAAACGCAGACGGAATCACAGAATTAACCAAAGTAATCCAGAATAAAACTCTGAATCTCTCAGAGTTTGCTTATTTGGGTGAGTTTCTGAGGTATTTTGGCCGCTGTCGCTTCCTGTTCCTGCCTTTACCTGCTAACAGGCACGCAGGGTGAGCTCTGAGGGGAGAAAAGTGAGCTGTGATGCGCGTCTCGCGAAAATAAAAACATCCTCCAAAAATATGAAGCGGTCTTAGGGTAATGTTTAGGACAGAACAATGTCCCAGCAGTTCTTCATTTATCTGGAGAATAACTTTTCTGTAAGTTTTATCGGCAYACGATGGGCTGGACGCCACGTGAAGACCACTTCCTGTCTGAKTCTCATCACAAACAGCAGCTGAGAGACGCTGCAAACTCCTGAACAAAAGTAATGAGCTTATATCCYATTCAGCTGGCAAGTGTGCACAAATTGTTGCTGTTTGTAGGGTTTATGTTTCTTTATGGCATATTTAATGTGAAATTCAATTCTAAAACTTTAATTTTACAAAAGGATAACTTTATCATGTGAGATTCTATGATTTACATGTAATTTTTTTACCTTTTTAAATACCTTGCAAAAATAATGTTCTACTGAACCACAGCTGTTTGTTATATAAGTGAAAGTAAAATAACAGCCATCCTTTTTTAAATTTCTGTAGCTATTTATTTGTTAAATTATTTTTCAGTCACCTTTAGGCTAACAAAAAAATCGTGATATTAATCGAGATAGGACGATATGAAAAAAATAACCGTGATCCTTTTTGCCATATCACCCAGCACTAGATAAAATATTTAATTAGAGTTTTTGTTTTCTCTGTTGCAGGAAAAACTGATTCCCGAAATAGCATCATGTCATGGAATCCTGATTACCTCCTATTCAGCTGTGAGAAATTTGCAAGAGGCCTTACTGCGCTACAACTGGCACTATATCATACTAGATGAGGGCCATAAGATCAGAAATCCAAACGCTGGGGTTACCACGGCCTGCAAACAGGTAACGTTTAAACACACGCAGGAAATTTCTTCCCATCTCTTGTTTGTTTTTTCACACTCTTGCTCTCCTCCCTGTAGTTTCGCACTCCTCACAGGTTCATCCTGTCAGGCTCACCTATGCAAAACAATTTGAAAGAGCTTTGGTCTCTGTTCGATTTTGTCTTTCCTGGCAAACTGGGGACGTTGCCTGTCTTCATGGAACAGTTTTCGGTGCCAATAACAATGGGAGGATACAGCAACGCCTCACCTGTACAGGTACGTGAAAATGTGCACGACCACAACTACAACTCAGATTGGTTTAAATGTTCTACAACCCACGTCTTTATTTTACACCAAAGTTCTGGTATTATAAAAAGTGGTGTTATTTTTAAATGATATTACAAAGAAAAATGGGCCGAGGCAGTGAAAACAAATGCATTTATGCACAATTCTAAAAAGTTAAAAGAGGACTAGTGGAAGAAGAAAACCATTAAGCGCAGTGCTGGATAATGTGCATCTATGCGAAGGAACTTCAGTTCATCTCTAATGTGTGAGAGTGGAAGAGGATAAAGGGAAGAGCCAGTGAGCTCAATCGTAGTCTTTTGTCATTAGCGTCCAATCGTTAATAACCCACTGACTATAGATTTAATTATTTAAGCTGGCTATTGATGCTTCTTCCGCTGTCGATAATAAAAACCTTTACTAATTATTAATGTTATTAAATGGTCAGAGAGGGCAAAGCTCTGCTGCTTTATCCTGTTCTTGAAACTCTCAAAGCAGCAGAGCGGGCCCTCGGATGATGCATAAAACGCATGAACGTACAAAYAGATGTATGTGAAAACATATGTGTTTTGGGGTGGGGCTTGATGAGCATGTGCACATTGGATCCATTACTAAAACAGGCGTTTTCACACACAGACACACACACACACCCATGTGAATCCACTCAGCAGCTTGTGCTGAGATCGTTGAATCCTCGCCTGCCCTCCTCCGATTCTTTTTCCACTCTTCCTTCCATTTAGCTCCAGATTTCAGCAGTTTATTGTCGCCTCCAGCACTGCCAACCGTGTCTTTGATCCCCCTGCAACCCCCCCCCAGTGAGTTAATGTTTAAAAGGCTAACTGGCTTTTAGCACCAACTCTAGATAAAGTGTAGCAGACCATTTTCAGTGGGGTTTCATAGGGGTGGGACAAAGTGTTTGTTAACACCCCCCCCCCCCCCCCCCCTGCTGTTTCCAATAGAGCTGATCAGTAGAACTGATAAAAGAAGAGAGCAAAAGCTCTCTGATCAATGTTTAATGTCCTGCAGGGCTGAGAGGGACAGCATGAGGAAGACGATGATGACTACTGAGACGTGCGTTGTTGATGACTTGGTTTATCCTCTGAGGTTTAACTGCTGTCGATTTGTAGGTCCAGACTGCCTTCAAGTGTGCGTGTGTGCTGAGGGACACAATAAATCCTTACCTGCTCAGAAGAATGAAGGCAGACGTCAAGGCCAACCTCTCCTTACCTGACAAAAATGAACAGGTACAGTCTGACATGTTTGACCCTGCTTCTTTTTTGTTTAAGCTTATTGACCCCCTTCCTCTCAGCTGTGCAGGTGTTTATCTGATTCGATGCCCCTCTTTGTGCCTCATCTACAGAGAGATTTGATGAGTGTGCTCCTGTCAGGTGAAGCCAGCTAATAAAGTCCTAGTGAAGTAAAAAGAGTTGGTATTCATTAAAGTGGCTGGTCTCTGGTCTGTCCTTCTGCCTGACGCAGGTTGACTGCTCTGTCCACTTCAACTCATTAAATCAGTCCCYGAGGGCAGTGTTGGCTTCAGAAATACAAATTGTTTCCCTTTAATTTATTTTCTTGCTTTCTGCACTTCATCAGGGGCCTTTAAAGTGGATGCTCACTAACGTACACACTGTGTGTGTAGGTTCTGTTTTGCAGATTAACTGAGGACCAGCGGCAGGTGTATCAAAATTTCTTAGATTCCAAGGAGGTCTACCAAATACTAAACGGAGACATGCAGGTAAGTCTTATTTTAAAGTGGCAAACTATAGAAAAACTTTTATTTTGTAGTTCGTTTGCTGATACTGTATTGATTCTTGGTTACAGCTTAATGGATTGTTGTTGTATGAAGAAATGTGAAATGCAAATGCAGTTCTTCTGCATAACAAAATTTAATCAGATTTTGTGCGTGTWATGTATTTTGTTTTTAAAAATTAGAATCATTTGGAGAACAAAATGGCAATATATTGCGGTTTCTGTGTYGTGATACGTATCATATCACCAATTTCTTGGCAATGCACAGCCTCTTTCTCAATGGTGAATATTTGGATAACTAATGTCATCACTAACTCAAAAATTCAAGAATTCCAAACTTGTCCATTTAAATGTTGTAAAAACCCCTAACAGCTCAGTATGCTTTAGCTCCGTCTCAAAAGGTTGTGCAGTTCTTCTCACATTAGCCAGACCCATGAGAGAGGAGCTCCCATTTATCACCACTGACCAAATGGACGTGGTTGAAGAGCCACGGGTGACCAGGTTGTGTATAGATGTATTCAGTGGTCACTCTCAGTCCATTAACCACCATTACTAATGCAGTGACCACTGGGCCCTCATCAAGAAACACAGTCTTTATTGTCCGTAAATAAATTATGTAATTCATTCCTGTAGACTAAAGTAAATGTGCTTATTTGTTTAAAGGTGCAACGCAGCAAAATACAATCGTTTTTACTAGTTGTGTGTTGAGTTTACAGMGAAGACGATTAATTAAAAAAATAAAATTCTATGCTTCTCAGGTGTTTTCAGGTTTGATCGCATTGCGGAAGATCTGCAACCACCCGGACCTGTTCTCAGGCGGGCCCCGGATACTGAGGGGGATCCCGGAGGACCAGCTGACTGAGGAGGAACATTTCGGCTTCTGGAAACGCTCGGGCAAGCTGATCGTGGTGGAGTCGCTTCTCCGTCTCTGGTTCAGGCAGGGACAGAGGGTTCTGCTTTTCACACAGTCTAGACAGGTGAGGAAGATGGCATCCAGTAAAATGAAGGTTTGTTTTAGAAATATTTGTTTTACTGCAGTTATTTTTGTGCAAAACTGATTATCATGTCAGATTATGGTTACGTCAGGTTGCGATGTCACGYCTTTGTATTTCCTGCTGGATCCTTGCAGCAGTGCTAGGCTGGGAAAGACACAGGAAGTGTGTATATGTGACAGAGGCCCCAGCTGTTGCAGTCAATACCAATGAGATTATACCTCAGAGGGAACCTGAGACCCTCCCTGTCGGCATCTCTGTCCATGTAATATTAATCTGCTCTAATCCTTTTAGAGCTAATCCAAACCTCAGCCCCTCTCACTGCCTCCCCCTTCCCGTCTCTTTTCTCACCGTCTCTCTGTTGTGTTCACCTCCTATCTCATTTCCAGATGCTGGATATCTTGGAAGTGTTTGTAAGGGAACAGAGCTTCACATACCTGAAAATGGACGGGACGACCACAATAGCTTCCCGGCAGCCGCTCATCGCTCGCTACAACGAGGTGAGGATTAGTGTTTCCCCTGAAAATCCTGTCCTCAGGGAGGAAAGGCTGCAGTGAAACCCTGCTCAGCCTGAGGCGGAGACACTAATTGATGACAATCTGTTGGTCTAAATAGATTCTGTGATTGGTCTATCACAGCATTAGGACCGTAGATGTTTGCTTTTTGGTTTAAATGTATTTTTCTTTTCTTTTAAATCCATTACATTCAATAAAGTCAAAGTCCATTAGGTCTTAATGTGTTACATTTAATGTTAGGTTCTTTACAGTGTAAACCAATGTTATTTTACTTGTTATCAGAGGTCAAAACCAAAATCATTATTAAAAGTTGTACCTTATGAAATGACAATAATTCTTCAGGATCATTTTATTCTGGTCTGTCTTTGTCACAGGACAAATCCATTTTTATTTTCTTGCTGACCACTAAAGTTGGTGGACTGGGAGTCAATCTGACTGGAGCCAACAGAGTCATCATTTATGACCCAGACTGGAACCCCAGTACTGACACACAGGTTAGACACTCAGATCAAATAATCCAAATAAAATATTGATTATTTTTTTCTGTTTTCTGTGAGTCCTGCTGTCATCTGAATCACCAGAAGTCGACTTGAATCTGTTAGTTTTGATCCAAATTTTCCTTTTATGTCTTTCACAACTTTTGAAAATAACAACATGTGAGCATCCGAATAAGGTGGACCATCTTGGTTTTGTATTTGAATGAATGATTTTTTTAATAATACATTTTACCTTTTGTAACTTGTTTACACACAGGTTTCATCGAAACAAGTTCACCTCCAGACAGTTATAAGGCTCTATCTGAATCCTGGGCTTTTTTTAGTCACTCAAGATAGTTGTTTTTATATCTGTGGTTTAAAGACATTGAAGGATTTTGGATTGGATTGTGGATTAAAGGGAACATATCATGCAAAATTCACTTTCTTAGCTGTTAAATATATTCTGTTGCATACGTAGTCTCTACGAGTGCAGAAAAGGCTGGTAAATTTAGAAAAAGAAGGAATTCAGACCAAAGTGTAGTTTATATACACTTTATAGAGACCCCAACTGAATGATTGAAATGTGAAAAGGAAGGATTTAAAAGCGCGAAATGTCTACTTTAAAGTTTGATTGTAGCAGCAACTTTTTAAACAACTGAGGACCACAAAGGAACACTTGAAACTGCCCAAAGCAACTCAACTTTTATAATCTCCTGAATAAAAAACCCTTAGTAGGAAGAAACAAATGTCTTTATTGCTTATTACAAATATTTTTTAAATTTCTGTTCAACTTTCTTATGTCAACTAAATAGAAAACCATTTTTTAATATTTAAATCTTAATATTTTGAATTAGTTATGATTACATTTGCTTTCAGTGACAGGAGTTGCTGGATGGACGCGTTTGAGATCAAAAGACTATTTACTTGTTTCACTTCAGGTCATTTATTTATGGTTGGATAAGKGCTTGCATTTCTGATTAGGGCTGCCACAAACAATTATTTTAATAATCGATTAATCACAGATTATTTATTCGATTAGTCGACTAATCGGATCATACATTAATTGAATATAAAACATACAGCTTATCACGTCAGAATGCAGCTGCTATTGTATAACCGTTGTTACATTTTAGCTATATGCTAACTAAAAATAACTGCTGTGGAAGGCAAGTTCTGCTCTGCAGATATTGCACAGGTTTCTCTTTCATTTTCTTAAAAAGATCCCACACTTTTGAGCTCTGTTGTCAGGTAGCCATGATACCAGAGCCTGTCTGTATAATGTCTTGTGACGTCCACGGCCTRCCCCAGTTACCACTACTGTGCATGTGTGTCAAGGACAGAAAGGCAGATGTGGCAGTGGAAGGTGTCAAAGCAGTTTGGAGAGAAAAACAAAGTAAAGAACAAAAAAAAAAAAAAAACGATTAATCGATTATTAAGTTAGTCATTGATTATTTTAATAATCGATTAGTCGTTGATTAATCGATAAATCGTGGCAGCCCTATTTCTGATCACTGTTTTTCTGCATTGTTTAGATTTTTTTCTGTACTAAGCATTTCCTCATTTTTACTTCCTCTCCACTTTATTCATTTAAAAGTATTTTTTTGCCCACAGGCTCGGGAACGGGCGTGGAGGATTGGCCAAACGCAGCAGGTAACCATCTATAGACTGCTGACTGCGGGGACCATTGAAGAAAAAATCTACCACAGGTAATACAGCTGTTTTAWATCTGTCACCTCTGATTTGAACACTGTCAGAAATCTTTCTGCCTTTCCTCATCCATTTTTTTTATTTTAGCTGTCTATTCACTGACCTTACACATTTGTAAATAAGTAATTTTTTACACCACTGCTGTGTTACTGCTTGCTCTCAGTAATCAAAAAGCTTCCCCGCTTTATTAAATGGCCAATTGAGGACTTCCAAACTATTGCTCTGTTTGGTTTGTGTCTGCGAAGAGCTTTTGAAAAAGCAACATGAACRAACAGCACAGAATCTGTTTTGATACCTGCAGTAGTGAACTTATTTAATTTTCCCATCCATCAGCCAAACTACTCTGTGGTGACAGGATCAAGATTGCCTGCTGAGTTTATTAAAAAAACTAATTATCTACTTGTATCTAATAATGTATTATTTCTGTTGTAATTCAGGCAAATCTTCAAGCAGTTTCTCACCAATCGTGTTCTGAAGGATCCAAAACAAAGGCGGTTCTTCAAGTCTAACGACATCTATGAGCTCTTCACTTTAGCTGATCCCACTGGAACTCAGGGAACAGAGACCAGTGCCATATTTGCAGGTTTGTTTGTCCATTTTGTCCTCATCTGAGACAAGTTTTACTCAACTATAATATGTAAATCTCTTCCAAATATATTGTTGGAAGTATTCATTTGACAAGTTGAGCTTTTATCTTTAAACAGGAACTGGCTCTGATGTCAGAGTGCCCAAGAAACCAGAAAGACCAAAATCGTCCCGTTACAGCAGCTGCGCATATAAAGAAACCTCAGGAAGCCAGAATGAAGCTGGYACAAACAGCAGAAACTCCTCCAGAGTCATTCCTCCAACAAATGATGGCCAAATTTCTCCATCCGGTGAAAWGATGCTGAGCAAACCAGTGGACAGCCAGAGCTTCAGTCAAAACGGACTGGATGTAAAGACAAACGTTTTTGTAAATGGACAAAATAATAACGGAGGCTTCAAAGAAGCCAAGCCACTGAACAAAACTGTGTCCCTGGCCATAAATCAGCAGCATTTAGACACCAAAAAACACCAGGAAAAGAGAAARCACTGTAAAACCCCTGCTGATGGGCACAAGCACAAAAGACAYAAACACTCCCGGGACGCTCGATTCGAAGGTCATCGCATCTCTCACTTGGTGAAAAAAAGGACTTTTAAGAAAGAAGAAAGTGAAGACAATTCATCAGAGGGTCAGAAAAAATCCGACGATTACGTCTTGGCACGGCTTTTCAAGAAATCTGGTAGGGACCCGCACCACATCTGCTGTATCTRACTCAGACTTTTTGTTGATTTTGTTTTCTGTGTCGTTCAGGCATCCACAGTGTGATGCAACATGACACCATCATGGAGTCCTCCAACCCTGACTACGTTCTTGTGGAAGCAGAAGCCAACAGAGTAGCTAAAGATGCCCTTAAAGCTCTTAAGATTTCTCGGCAGCAGTGTAGGCTTCCRTATAACCGACCCCCTCCTCCACCTGCGAAGTAAGGATTCTCGCCAGTGCTTGGTTTGCGAGAAGCTTCACCTTTTTCATTTAAAACAAGCATCTCATTAATTAATTAATTAATTATTTTATTCTCTCAGGAAACGTTTTGGACAAAAGAAGAATTCTCTTTTAGTTGCACCTTCTGCTCAGCCAACCTCCACTCCAACTAAATGCAAGGTAATAACGTGTTTCTTTTCTTTGCTAATGCTACGACAGGTTTTTACGGAGCCCGCGAGGGGACATGGGAGATTTTTTTTTCTTTTGCGTTCCCACGCATTAGTATTGTGTTACCTCGCAATACCTTTTGCGTTCCCTCGCAAAAGTCTTTTATCACTGTTGTGCCTGTCGGTTTATTAACACATTCACGTGTTCACCATTAGCCCGTTAGCCTACTGCTTTAATTCAACTTCAGAGTGTATATCACACAGCCACGCATGGAAGTATGTCATGGGCTGATATTTTAACACAGTGCAGCCA